TCTGCAACTGAGAATTTCAGACCAACAAACAGTGCTATCAGAATATGATTATGTGAACTTTTGAGTCTTCCTCACATTAGTTTTCTTTTTTTATTATTATGTTACCGATTTGGCATTGTATTCACAAATCTGTAAAACTGAAGTGTAATTATCCAGTTCTGCTGTAGAAGCAATCTTAGATGCACCTGATTTAATTAAAGGTTCAGTTTATTTCCTATATAAGAATTAAATAGATCTTACCAGAGCTGCACGTCTGGGCAAAGAGCCAGAAAGCTCTGGGAAAACTGAACAAAAGCTGAAGATAGTGGGAGTAGAATTGTGTTGAATGGTCATAAAATTGTAGCATATGGGCATCAGTACAAAACCTAAAAAGATTGCACCTGTCTTTCCCATAGTAACTTTGTTGCTGGATCTAGTCCTGTGCTTAAATCATAAGGGAAATCTCTAAGTGGGTGCCATTGGTGGAAGTTTTTAAATTAGTGCTTTTTTTATCCCAGGTTACTTTTGATTGTAGGAGATTTGATTCTAGATCTCTCAATACAGCTAAATGCTCCCTTTTTTAGTTTCTAGCTAGCCTTCAATAGGAGAGTTTTGTGAATATGGGCCTTTGTATGGTCATAAATAACTGTTTATGGGAGATAAGTACCAAACCCTTGCGCTCGCGCACTCGCTCTCTCTCTCTGGGAATCTGTTAAAGCTCTGCTGACTAATGTTTCTTGAAAAAAGTTCAATGTTTATGGAGTACGAGGTCATACCTAGAATCTCTTGAGTCAGAACAAAAAAAAAAAAAAAAAAAGGTTGTGGAAACATTACCACAATTTGTTATAAGTAATACAGATGCATTTTTTTTTCTTTTTTTGTTTTCAAAAGAGACTGAAGGAAGCTAGGAAGTAGAGATGTAATAGAGTACATTTATAGTTCTTTGTGTATTGTGGATCTATGAAGTGGTGTGCAAAAGAGCAGTGTTTTGATCTTTCTTGTTTTGGATCTGGGGCTGTTTATTGTATTTAACCTTCTTATACAATAAAAAATATTTAATCTCATGTGTGTTGTTTAATCTCTCTGCACAAGTATTTTTATAGTTATCAGTGTTGTCATTGTTCTAATATAATAAAAGCCTTTGTCTGTGTCTGTAATGCTCCGGCCCAATTGCACATGGGCTGCTGAGAGGGAGCACACAGATTAGCTCCAAGGGCCCTGAGCATTACGGACAGAGTGGGTGAGGGAGCTGCTACATGACCCCCACCCCCAACAACAGCCATCAGGGAGGGGGAAGCTGTGGTGAAGAGAGAGTTGCCGGGGGCAGTGCTGCCATCCCTGCCCCCCCCCCCCCCCCGGCCCAGCTGCCACTGCCCAGCCTGAACAACAGACAGAGGGGGAGGGGAGGGGAGGGGAGGCAAGGTGTCTAGCAGCCTCCATGTGCAAACTCTCCTCTCCTCTTGTTCCTGGGAGCGGCAGAGGGTGGGGCGAAGGCCAAGCTCCCCTCCCCCATCCTTGTTGGTGGGAGCCTGGGTGGAGCGGGCTTAGGGGATGGCCCACGAGGCTGGACCC